GTACTATTGCAAAAAAAAATTTTTTTCTTTTTCTTTCTTCTAAGTAGTTGAGCCTGGTGGGGCTCACGGTGGCCACCATCTGGACACTGGCCTAAACAGTGATTATCTCCAGGGGCCGCCCCCAGGGGATGCTGACATGTCCTCCTCTGCCCACTCCCCAAACAATACTTCCTCTCACTGACAACACCCCCAACACACACAGGATCACAAACCCAGATGGTAGAAAACAGGGGTTTGGAAGACAGAACACGTAGTAAAGGACAAAAGTGATCAGCTCCCGAGTTGTTCATGAAGAAGGCGAGCCGTGCTGTTTTTTATTCATTCAAGGAATATTTATGGTTTATCTACAATACGTAAGTTTCACAAAGTGCCTGTGCACACAACAAAATGGAGCTTTTCCCTTTTCCCTACTGTCTGTCACGACAATCTCTGCCAACACCCAGAGAATACTCCATGGCTAGTTACTTCCCTTCGCTATTCTGATCTTATGCTTCCATTTGAAAACCATGTAACAGGGGCGCCTGGGTGGCTGCGTCGAGTAAGCGTCTGACTGTAGATTTCAGCTCAGGTCATGATCAGAGTTCGTGCCACCGAGCCATGTGTTGGGCTCTGTCAGCATGGACCCTGCTTGGAATTCTCTTTCCCTCTCTCTGCCTCTCTATCTCTCAAAATAAATAAATAAACATTAAAAAAGAAATGAAAACCATGCAACAGATTCTCTAGAACAAGCAGAAAATAGGAGCCCCAAGTTTATTCTAGCCCCTCAACTCAAGATTCAGCAGGGGTAGAGGTGCCTGGCTGGCTCAGTCAGTGGAGCGTGTTAACTCTTGATTCCAGGGTTGGGGTTTGAGCCCCACACTGGGTGTAGAGATTTCCTTAAAAATATAAAATCTTTCTTTCTTTCTTTTTTAAATTTTTTGAGTTTATTTATTTACTTTGAGAGAAACAGAGACAGTGCAAGTTGGGGAGGGGCAGAGAGAGAGAGAGAAAGAATCCCAAGCAGGCTCCGTGCTGCCAGCACAGAGCCCAGTCCACGGCTGGAATCCACGAAGCTATAAGATCATGACCTGAGCCCAAACCAGGAGACACTTAACCAACTGGGCCACACATTGCCCTCCTCCTCCACAAAAAAATCTTAAAAAAAAAAAAAAAAAAGATTTATCAGGGGCAGTATCCCACACCTTTCAGTACTTGGTTTTCCTACCCGTCTAAAAACACAGACTATATTAATCTGGATATTTAAAAAATGCTAGTAATCTATCTGATAAAAATTTCGTCAGCGGTCACTATTGGCAAATCATTCTGCACCCATTGCAAAAGTTTGATTGTATAATGAACCCTAGTTTATATGATTCTTTGCAAGGAGAAGAAACTGTTAACAAGAAACTGTTCAAAACAATGTATAACTGAGGGCAGCATTGAACTGGGAGCCTGGATATCGAGGATTCACTCCATTTCTTTTAAACCACCTTATACTGAGCAACTTTTGATGCCAGGCACTGAAGCTGGCATTTCTAAACATTATGTTTCACTGGAACCTTACCAGATTCTTGATTCATTTCAGTTTACAAATGAAAGAAATGGCAAGAACTTAATTTGTGAGCTTTGCGCGTCATTATTTCAAATAAAGAGAGTGAGTATCAAATTTGGAGGATGTCATAAAACAACGGGGACCAATGTTTACTAAAGAGTTCTAACACTTCAAGCAAGAACAGAATTGTATTTACATATGTGATTAAAACCCTTTAATCCACTGAACACCAATGGTCTAGAGTTTGCAAATCATAGAATTAGGATTAGTCTGATAGTTTTATCATTTAAAAGTAAAGGAACACGGGGCGCCTGGGTGGCTCAGTCCATTAAGTGTCCAACTTCGGCTCAGGTCATGATCTCACGGTTTGTGGGTTCCAGCGCCATGTGAGCCTCTGTGCTGACAGCTCGGAGTCTGGAGCCTGCTTCCAATTCTGTGTCTCCCTCTCTCTTCCTGCCCCCCACCACTAGCACTCTGTCTCTCTCTCAAAGAAAATAAACATTAAAAAAAAAAGTTTAAAAGTAAAGGAACATAGATACATACAAAGAAAGCATTAAAAATGCATTTCAGGGAATACTAATGAACAGAAGAAAATCTATGGGTCTACATCTACATTTATTTATACATTAGTTCATTAGGCAAAGAATTTGAGGTAGTAATAGTCATTTTATTTATTAAATGCGCTTCCCAGCCATCCTCTCTGAATACAGAGTATCAGAGAAGCATCTTAGAACTTAATCTTGAATCTGAATTTTAAAAAACAAAGAAGAAATAGATGTTAGCATTAAAAATTATACCAAGAAGAAAGCTAAAAAAAAAAAAAAAAAAAAAAAAAAAAAATAGGACACAAGAGGAATACCTCAGTCATCACAAGCTTCTTCAGTGGACACCCAAACTTCCAGATATCCCAAAACAGAAGGTAAGTAAAGCTGCCAACGTGAAAAAGGCACAACTCACAGGACAACTAAAAACACAAACCCCAAGCAAAATTCAGAGGCCAAAGATCCTGCTGAATGTTGTCTTTTAGAGCTCTTTGCACAGAAAGCTCTTTCTACTTAGGCTCTGAAATTTCTCAGTTTTATGAGATTTCTTTCACTTAGCTCTTGTTCCTTTCTTTAAACCTTCTTTTAGCCAAATGCCAGCCTTTCTGAATGTGGAAAGATTACATTTTATAAATTTAAAAGGGAAAAAAAAAGCCCAGTGATTGTTTCTCCTCTCCAGTATTTACATATCATTTAATCCTTCGTGCTCCAGCTTCCTGGGTTTCCTAGCTCTGGGGAGGGGTGAGGCAAGATGACCAACGTAAGGTAATGGTGGGTGCGTTTGTTTGTTACGGGTGTGATGGGTGTGATGAGGATTGCTCCCAGCTTAACAATTTAAAATTTATAAAGCACCTTGGACGCCTTGGAGAGATAGCACCCTACATATAAGAATGTCAACACATCACTCCTGTGAAAGCAGAGCAGGTAAATATAAAAGCTAATTCCTGAAGAGCCACCCAGCAAAGGAAACTATCACCTACTTGATAGTGTGCCCCAATCAAAGGCAGTCCAAGAAGAAATTAACAGAAGGCAGAACGCTGGAAAATAAATGATCGATTATAAAGGTTAAAGCACACACATAGTTTAACATGGACTGCCAAGATAAAACCAGTTTTAAATAAGCAAAAGTCAGCTACTTGAGCATACAGCTAAGGAGGCCAAGAAATATTTTAGAAGCATCTATACTTTTTTTAAAGACACTTTTTAAAAATTGTGGTAAAATGGGCATAACATAAAATTTACCATCTTCGCGTTTGTTAAGTGTGTGTTCAGTAGCGTTAAGTACATTCACACTGCTGTGCAACCGACCTCCAGAACTCTTCATCTTGCAAAACTAAAACTATATCCATTAAAGAACTCGTCATTTCCCCCACGCCCAGCCACTGACAACTACCATTCTATTTTCTGTCTCTGAATTTGGTTACACCAGGCACCTCATATAAATGGAATCAGACAGGAATTGTCTCAAGAAAAAATAACACTTTTAAACATTGTTTTTTAAAGTTTACTTATTTACTTTGAGAGAGAACAAGAGAGCAGGGGAGGGGCAGAAAGAGAGAGAAAGGAAGAGAGAGATAATCCCAAGCAGGCTCTGCACCAGCAGCTCAAAACCCGACTCGGGGCTTGAACCTATGAACCGTGAGATCATGACCTGAGCCGAAACCAAGAGCCGGATGTTTAACTGACTGAGACACCCAGGCACCCCCCCCTCCAAAAAAAACTTTTAAACCACAGAAACTACGAGCAGAGGCAAATGGAAATAATCTAAAGTACAAAGGGACAGAAAAACAGGAAGCAGAAAGTGAACTGGGGAGGATTCTAGACTTTGGTATTTATAAAATGATCCCAATCATAACATTAGTTATCAGAAGAGGATACAGATCTTTTCTAAATGTCTTTGCAACAAAAATTGAAAAAACATGAGCAGAAAGTAGACTGGGGGAACTCCACACTTTGGTATCTGCAAAATGACTCCAGGCATAATATTGGTCAGCAGAAGTGGATTCAGGACCCTTCTGTAGGTATCTTTAAAACAAAGATGAAATCAGCATCATCCCTTAGTTTCTTAATATTTTACTCCAAAGAAGGAAACTTGGTATCACAATCTCGGACTTCAATTCAATCAGAAAGAAAAGCATCTTCGTCGTACCCATTACATCAGTGACAATCAACTCCCATCGGATGCTGAAGCAATCCACCTAAAGACGTTGCCAATCTCTCTGAGACATTCTCTGCTCAGATAAACGTGTTGCTGAGATCTACTAATACATGCAGGGAAGACTATTATATTTAATGTTTTCTTATTAACAACAAAAATATCTAGCCTGATCTCAGAATCCAGAGAAAACTTCAACACAAACATAACCTTAGAAATATGCTGATTGAAATAATCATAGAGAAAGACAATTAAGTCTAAAACTAATGCTGACGTGAAAGCTAATTCCAACTTTAAGAGAATAATATGAACAAAAGTTATGAGTTTGATGGGAAATTTCCATCCTCATTGCATTAAGTATTTTCATTACATTTGCTAATCTGGGGATGTGTCCTTCAATTGGGAAATCATGAAGCAAAATGAATAGAACTCATTCAGAAAAGCATGATCAGTCATCTAAACCTCTGAAAGATTAAAACTGTAATTCTGGGGGGAAAAGGTTTTTGCTTTGCTCCACCTTATTTTTTTTTCTTGATATAGTAAATGCCCTGAGGCTCTGACCTAGCTTCAGAAGAAGAGCCAGGAGAGTGTGCTCACAAAAAAGAAATTATCCAATTGCAGATTAGCAAAACTGTAACAGGGATTAAGACGTGACACAGAAAAGGAACACCCTAAAAGTGTGTATATAAGGGCAAAAGGAGAGCTTGCAAGTGCATTCTTCCCTGTCCTCTCTCTTGTTCACCTGGACAAGCTGAACGTTTGCAGGAGCACCATGTCTTGCTCATCTCGTGTCTCCTCTTCCAGGGCTGGGGGCAGCGGCTCGGTCAGGGTGTCCGCTGCTGGGAGCAGCTTCAGCAGTGGAAGCAGATGCGGTCTGGGGGGTGGCTCTACCCGGGGCTTCCGAGGAGGAACCGGCGGCTGTGGCCTGAGTCAGGGATCAAGCAGTGGCTCCGGAGGAGGTTTTGGTAGCTCGGTACAGGGTGGCTCTGGAGGCACTTCAGGCTCTGGGGCTGGCTTTGGCGGAGGCTCTGGCTTTGGTGGGGGGTCTGGCTTTGGTGGGGGCTCTGGAATTGGGGGGGGTTCTAGTGGAGGCTTCTACATCTATGGCGGTGGTCTGGGGGTTGGAAGGGGGGGTGGTGTTGGTGATGGGGGACTTTTCTCCGGAGGTGAAAAGCAAACCATGCAGAACCTCAATGACCGCCTGGCCAGTTACCTAGACAAGGTCAGAGCCCTGGAGGAGGCCAACAGTGATCTGGAGAACAAAATCAAGGAGTGGTATGACAAATTTGGGCCTGGGTCTGGAGATGGTGGATCTGGAAAAGATTACAACAAATACTATCCAGTAATTGAAGATCTCCGGAATCAGGTGAGACACTATCCACTGCTGAGTTCTATTATTTCTGTATCTTCTGCTCTTATTCAGATCATGTACTGTAATGAAGATTTTAAGTCAAGGAATTATTTGAAGACATATTTGCTTGTTGTATATGTAAAATGGGATTTGGTGTGTTTTAACTATGCTGATACTGCATATGACATCCGACCACATTAATGATCTGTTTGCCTCTCAGATTTGAGTATTTCTACATAAGAGAAAAATTTATATAATGCGAGGCAGCTAATTAACATGTACATAGAAGAATGATGGCAGTGAGTCAATACTAGCTTAATCTAGTATTTATTTTCATGATTAATTCTAGCAGGTTGACATATTCCAGTATCTTGTTAGATTTAAATAATCTTTACAACTGTTTTTCTTCCTGGAAAATCTGGTGCAAATATTGTATGAGAATGTGCGTAATCTGAAATGTTTAGCCATTGTTGTATGGGAAATATTTTTTTAAAACTTTTTAGAAGTGAAATTCATTTTTCGCACAGTTTTCTGAAAGAATTTCTAGAACAACTGATCTTCCAAAGCAGCAGAAATAAGCAGAGGACTGTGTTCTATAAAACAATGTTCCATGCCTATTCCAGCAAACTGTTACCTTTTTGCAGAAAGATGTAGTTCATCTATGCCAGATTATCAATAAAGATGTCATTACTAAGCAAGTTTTCAAAACAATTTACCTTTAAAAACCAACTCACGGGACACCTACCCTCACAGGTGCGCGTGCAGATACAGGTAAAAAGCATCCATGATTCATTCACTATTATTGTCTTTTCTAGATCATTGCTGCAACTATTCAAAATGCTGGGATCGTTTTGCAGATTGACAATGCCAGATTGGCTGCTGATGACTTCAGACTGAAGTAAGAAAAGCAAAGACTTGAAAACAAATGTAGGAAAAATAAAATTCAATCTGTCTGTTTCATTTATTCTAAACTCAAAGAAATATCTTTTAGGGGATCAAGACCTACATTTACAAACATTCCACCAAGAGTAAATTTGAGAGAGAAAGAGAACACCAGTGCGGGGGAGGGACCGAGGGAGGGAGTGAGAGAGAGAGAGAAACAGAGAGAGAGAGAAAGAGAGAGAGAGAGAGAGAGAGAGAATCTTAAGCAGACTCCATGCCCAGCACAGAATCCAATGCAAGGCTTGATTTCACAATCCTGAGATCATGAGTTGGGCCAAAATCAAGAGACGCTCAACTGACTGAGCCACCTAAGCGCCCCTCCAAGAGTAAATTTTTAAAACCGCCACTCCACCAACAAGGAAACAAAAAACAGGTCAAAATAAAGATGAGTTTTTGTTATAAAAAAAAATTAGCCATCAGTAGGATTAACATTAGGTTCATAATTTTCTTTCCAGGGGAAAAACTCCTAAGAGAAAACTTGGTAGCTTTCTTTTATCAAATAGCTCAGAGGAAAAAAACTTTTTCTTGAATACATAAGAATGGATGTACTCTGAAATGCTCTATACTGTCCTTTCCAGGTATGAGAACGAGCTGTATCTCTGGCAGGCCGTGGAGGCCGACATCAACGGCCTTCGGAAAGTTCTGGATGACCTGACCATGACACGCTCTGACCTGGAGATGCAGATTGAGAGCCTCACTGAGGAGCTGGCCTACCTGAAGAAGAACCACGAGGAGGTAGGAGCACATTCCACACTATTAAATGACTCTGACCTACGTACTTCCCCCACATCCATTCTGTAAAAAATTGTATCTAAGTGGATTTCCAACTCTTATGTCCAAGGAAAAAAGCAGTCATGAACAAATTATATCTGATTTTGGTGGGAAGCAGGGGGTAGCCTTTAGTGTCCTAGTTTCAATTTTTTTGTTGGCTCTGCATGTTTTAAGAAGTCTTGGGGCGCCTGGGTGGCTCAGTCAGTTGAGTGGTCAAGTCTCGATTTCGGCTCAGGTCATGATCCCAGGGTCATGAGATCCAGTGCCTGAGCCCCTCATAGGGCTCTACCCTGAACATGGAGCCTGCTTAAGATTCTCTCTCTCCTGCTCCTCCCTCGGACACACACTTGCCCTCTCTCTCAAAGAAGAGGAAGAGGAGGAGGAGGAGGAGAAGGAGGAGGAAGAAGAGGTCTTTGCTTTTCTGTTTTTAAAATTTTTTCCTTTTAATGTTTACTTTTGACAGAGAGAGAGAGACAGAGCAGGAGCGGGGGAGGGGCAGAGAGAGAGGGAGACACAGAATCGGGAGCAGGCTCTAGGCTCCAAGCTGTCAGCACAGAGCCCGACGCAGGGCTTGAACTCATGAACCTTGAGATCACGACCTGAGCTGAAGTCGGACGCTCAACCGACCGAGCCATCCAGGCGCCCCTTTGTTTTTCTGTTTCTATAACCGTGATCTTTTTTTCTTTGCACTAGGAAATGAAGACTATGCAAGGAAGCTCCGGAGGGGACGTGACCGTGGAAATGAACGCCGCCCCTGGCACCGACCTGACCAAGTTACTGAATGACATGAGGGCACAGTATGAAGAGCTGGCAGAGCAAAATCGCCGCGAGGCCGAGGAGCAGTTCAACAAGCAGGCAGGTTATCACTGCTGGGTGTCTGAGAGTCACAACGCTAGCCACTTCAGGTCATTTCTTCAGCCTGCAGTGACTGCCATTCTCTTTTTTATTTAGAGCGCATCACTGCAAGCACAAATTTCTACCGATGCCGGAGCAGCCAGTTCTGCCAAGAATGAGATCACAGAACTGAGACGTACTCTGCAAGCCCTGGAAATTGAGCTTCAGTCCCAAACGGCCATGGTGAGCGCAAAGAGGTTTGCAAAACCTCCAACAGGGAGTTGAGCGGTTTCATTCTCCCTCTTTGCCAAGATGTTCCGCTTGGCACGTAATAAAAGGGCGTCAGGAGCACTGGCTTGTGGTTGTAGAAAGCGTGAAACATTCTAGTGAAAGACAATACACTTTCATAAAAGATTTAGTGTCAAGGAAAGCGGTTATGCCAACAAAAATGAAGGAACCCATGATATAACAACATAGGGTATAACTTCTCTTAGTACCTTACGCTATTTTGCGTTAAAAAAAAAATCATCCCATGACTTATTTTCATCATGATTTTTTTTTTAATTGGCTTTTTCTTTTAGAAAAGCTCCCTGGAAGCGACGCTGGCTGACACAGAAGCTGACTACATGGCTCAGCTGTCAGAGATCCAGATGCAGATCAGCGGCCTGGAGGAACAGATCTGCCAGATCCGGGGCGAGACCGAATGCCAGAACACAGAATATGAGCAGCTGCTGAACGTCAAGACCCGCCTGGAGATGGAGATTGAGACCTACCACCGCCTGCTGGATGGAGAGGGAGGGTAAATGACAGTCAGCCGCTCAGCGCATTCCTTGGGGTACTTATGTTATGAAACCAAAATGGGGGTTGGGGGCTGGACTTGGGTTTGAAAAGTCACAGTAACATGGTTGAATCAAAAGTCATTTACCTTCCGCAGGGAGAGCCCCCTGCGTGAAGGGTTCGTCCCGCCTTTGCAAACTACAAAGTAACACAATTCCTTTTTTCCTCTAGCAGTTCTGGTTTTGGAGGATCTGATTTTAGAAACTCGGGCTCCAGAAATACAGGATCCAGAAACATGGAATCTAGGGATTTGTCCGTGTCTGGTGACTCAAGATCTGGAAGCTGCTCTGGCCAAGGAAGAGGTAAACATATTTTAATCTTCGTGATCGGTTTATCATTTAAAGTAAAGGCATGCTCAAAGCATAAGAGACTGTTAAAAACCGAGAACAAACTGAGGGTT